CCTTTACTTTCTTCAACAATCCAGACTCCTCGTGGACACTTTGTAACTTGTTTGTCATGACCTCAATGAATTGCAATAGCTGTCTTTTTCTCTTGCCCTCCTCGGAAACCTGCAACGTATTTGCAATGACGGCAATGAAAATATTCAAAATAACCATATTGGACAAGAAGAACCACATTACCAAAAATATAGAACCAAATGATCTTGAAGAGGTTGTTTTAGCATACTCCTGCATCGAATACATAATATCAGTCCAATTCTCGGTTGATGTGATAATGTAGAGTGCAATGAAGGATGCAGGTAAAGTGTTCATGGGAAAATCAATGTCGTCGAGATCATCATTGGGAACAGCTCCTTCAAAATGCCTTGCTAAGATGATACTAACCAAGAATAACAAGATAAAGTAGAACAATGCCAAGTCGAATATAATCCGAATGTTTTTCATAAGCTTCAACCACAAGTTTCTCGTTATTGATGTGGCCAAGACGACTCTATAGAAACGCATAAGCTGAAGCACGCTGAGCCAGTAATAAGCGTGTCCCATTTTGTTTTTGATAGGTTTTATGATTATGATTGTTGTTGCAATCGCCAAAAAGAGGTCGAAACAGTTTCTCTTGGATAAGAAAAATACTCGCCACTGAGGAAAATGAAGGATAAATCTGATGATGATTTCACCCAAAAACACACCGGTAAAGCTTGATTCGAACCGATAAAGTAGGTGGCGGCGATGATCTGACATGTCATGGGATCGAAAACACTGAACAAACAAGCTTATTGCAATAACAATTACAAAGACAAATTCAAATTTGCGGTAAAATTTCAAGTACCGATTTCTTTTCTCCATTTCCTTAATTTTTTCCTCGTAATGTTTGCTGTCGTCTTTGAATCTTCTGAGAAATTTCCATCCGGGCCCTTGTCTCTTTTGCTGTTTTGTCGTTTCCAATCTAGTAACATTAAACGACGCGACAATCACTGCAATGAAAACATTAAGCAACCAAACAGTCATAACAAAGATGCATGCTATAAAGAAGATGCACGCAACCATGTTATCGGTGTCCATAGTGTTGTACATTATGTCTGTAAATGTGTTTGCACTCATTATAACAAAAACCATTTCCAAGGATTGCAAAATGTTGTCAAAATTCACCGTACCATTGTGCGGGTTATCACCAGATATACATTGAGAAAATCTTGGACATCGGAAGCCTTTAATCACACCCGATGGCATCCCGTCGCGATTCAAATACGATCGCTTCAGACCATCTATTCCAATGAATGATCCGCAATACAGATCCGAATTGATATAAGTGTCCGATGGATCGTCCGGGTTAGTCCACACGCAATGCCTGGTTAATGATGACTTGAATGATTGCACCCCGATTATACCGAAAAACAACCAAAAGAAGGAAATGAAAATAGACACATCAATAAGCTGAGGTAACGCACTTTTGCACGCGGTAAGAATTGTATTTGTACCACTGGTCAAGTTACATAACCTCAATATCCTCAAGCAGCTTAAAGCTCTAAAGAGCATTATGTGGTGCTTGGCATCATAGCGATTTATGGACAATAAAAGGGAAATCCAAAAGCAAAGCAGTGATATAAAATCAAGCCTCTGCCAGCTTTTTCGAAGAAAGGCTCTTTTTAAATGAGGATCTACTTTCTTTAGGCCCTTTTCTTTGACAAATGTATTTGCAGGTTTTAATCCATACCCTTCAGGGGCTGATGTTCCATTGTCCGTCTCCAAATGTGCCCCTGGTGCGCCATTTCCCATGTCATCATGAAACAGGCTGAATTCGTATTTATTCTGCAAATCATAATCCACTGACGTTCTTGAATCAATTAAGCGTTCAAAAGAGTCACCGCGATCCCCATTTACATCATTATTCTTGTAATTAAGTTGGTCATCACCGCTGGAGTCATTATTCTCATCATGCATCTCTTGCTTTGTTTTCTCGCCTCTTCTGCTTCCCTTTTTGACTTTAAAAGGATTTCGGAGATTCTTCTTGAATAAATACATAGCACTGTGCATTTGCAAAAACGTTTGATCAAAAAGGTCCGGTGGGTATGCCACCCCCAATTCTTCAAACAGGACTCGATCGCTCACGAGACCATATGCGATCACTTGCATAACTATCTCCACTGTGTAGATGATATTGATTATAATTAGCAAATAGTCTGCCCAATTGTAACCAGAGTAATAGTACCCATCCAATGCATGAGGATTCCATTGACGATAACTTAACAATATTACTTGAAACACGAGAATGAGCAATAAAAACAGGGTTGTCAATTGGTTTTCTAGAACCAGATGACATATTCTTCTTAATATCGAATTAGGTGGGAAAATTCCAAGGGACTTTCCATGCAAGACTTTTGTACGGGATTGTACAGTTCCATTCGTTTGATGTGAATGTATAGAGGGGGCTCTTTCGTGTAGGAGAGAGTCCTCGGTAGATGTGTCCTGCACCAGGGCACTTTGCGCTAGATTCAAGTCACTCGAACTGTGCAAGTAGACGCCCAAACCGTGTGAAAATTTGGTGTCATTGTAAACCGACTCTCCTTTGTCAGTGGTAACTGTGAGTTCTGGGACATTTTTTGGCCCTTTGCCTGGACTGAGACTGTTCCTGAAAGAATGATCACCAGCCTCCATAAACGATGGATGCTCATTTACAGGAGTTTTAATGTGCGAACTTCCACGCGATCTGGCTGGCGATAAACCAAGATGGTCGTTATCGGAATGACCATCAGTCTTGTGCCCTGTACCGGCAACACGATTCGATATTCTTGCAATTGCATCAGTAAATTTCGAGGACGTATTCGCGGGTGTTCCTATGGGTGTATTCGGGTTAAGAAGGCCTGCTTCAAGATAGTCTAAATTGTGCTCCATGTCTCGACTCGGAGAACGTGGATTCTGTGTTGATGTAGTTTCAGTATAGTCAACAAACGGTGATGGTGAATGTAATGATGTCCCACTTCCATCACCAGAACGAGCTTTCAGTAACGGGTCAAGATCTTGGAGTGGTATATTTGAGGTATAGTTGGCGTTTTCGCTCAGATCATCCCCTGTGTTAATCGGAGCAAATTTCTGTGGTGTCTCCCTTGTTGGAGTTGTGACAGGAAACCACTTTGCACTCTCATTATTAGTACCTAGCGCAAACTTCAAACCCTCTTGTAAATCCTTAAGGTCGTTATCATCGAGTGACCCATGAATGATTGGCGAACGTTGAAATGAATCCCCAAGCTGAAAACTTGGTTCTTCTTGAGGTGTAGCAAATTGATCCGCACGAAATGGGTTGTTGTTTGTGAATGTTGACCCGTGCAGTTTGCGGCGGGGGACAAGTATACCAATCTGAAACGGATTTTCGTTTACTCGAGTGTGATCTTCCGTCCCCAGTGGACTTCTGGGGTAGGTCTTATTAGGATCAAAGTCTTCATCATATGATACAGATTCTTGGGTACTTTGTGATACTGGCCGAGTGTTGTGTTCATGTGTGTTTTCATCGGTGTCACTGACCCGCAGAATTACAAAGTTGGGAGTATTCGTAAATTTCCTATCCATCTAGCTTTCTTTGGAATGATTTAATGTTGGAGTGGAAACGTATACATCTGTTTGATATAACGATGGTAGTATTGCCAAGATACAATACGGTCTGTTTTGGCGTACTTGACGTTCTGAAATATAGTTGATGTGGTAATAAAAACAGACTGTGTGTGAACTCTGAATCCAAATGAAAGATGATTCTTTGATAAAATAGTTTTTTTATTTTTTTTCCCGTTTATTTTTTTATTTTTAGAACAACTGTTAACGACTGCAAAAACTGCCAGATCTGGGAAAGATATTGGTGCAATGTATCTTACTGCAGGCTCGTTTGTAGTAATCTCTATACAGGTTGGTTTGTCTGGAAAATCCATTTCGTGGTTGTTCTAAAGTAGGGGACCACATCATGCGTTCATTAAGAGGCGAAGTCAGTTTTCCTTTTTGTACCCCAAAGTATGAATCGTTGGACGATATAGAGATATAGAGATAAGGTTTGGAAACTTTGATAGTTTTAGGCAAGCATAGGTCCTGTTGTAGTGCAAATGACATGAGGAGGTAAGTTTACTTTACAACTAGATACTCATCGCTGATACCGTTACGAGATCATTGACATATCAAGATTCAGGGATCACTCATCCTGGGGCATTAACTTTCATTTTATTCTGGGCACTTGGCAACAGTTTTCGCAACACTGGTCCCCAACATAACATCTAAGCCTTAAATTAGCCGTATTGACCAACCTGTCCCAAAGTGTGTGTAAATCAAAGTTACGGAAAACCCTTTCATTTTCTTATGTCGCGTCATTTGTTTCTTTTCATTTTAGTGTCACTTGACCTTTCTTTTGCGAAAATGTCTAATACTAATTTTCTATTGTTAAAATTGAGATGATGTAGATTTCATATAGGAAAAACAAATGTCACTGTCAAATGCCAATTCTCGTTAAAAGCAAAGGGGTATTACTCAATTAGGAAGTGGCGAAGACCGAGCCCGAATAAATCTCTATAACGTTCAAATCTGTAGACCGTCTAATATCCCTTCAGTCTAAATATACACACTCATTTAATGGGATCTAGACCTATGTGGGGGATANGACGACTCCGTGTGTAGAGACTGTAGCTGCGTTGGGAGCAGTAGAGGTTTACTTATTATCAAATTTCTTAACCTGCCAAATGTGTGTGAATTTATAGACAGAACAAAAAAGTTATCACCACGTCCTAAATAGGAGAACCGCAGAGCAAAGTGAATTCCAACTTCCATAAATTTCTCCACCCTGATACCTGTTGGAAACCTATTTATTTTGTATCCATAAATAATAAAACAGCAAGTTAGGCTAGAGTAACTTTGGGAAAATAGAATACAATAGATAAATTGTGTGCTTTATGAATTGTACTATTAACGTCTATAAAATATTCTAAAAACCGTGCTCTCTCTATTGCTAATAAATAAACTGAATTGTTCATTAAACGTCACCTTTACTGTTCTGTTCTTCTTCTGTACGTTTGGTTGCTTCTTGTTGTGCCTTTGCAGCAGCAATAGCCTTTTTACCCATTGCTTTAGAGAAATGCATTACTGCAAAGGGGAAAATGACACTCAATACCACAACCCATGCTACCAATATACCAAAATTACGACCCAATTGTCCCTTATAAACGTCGAAAAACACNTATTTTACAATTGCTACATACAACTTTAAACGACTCTTAAATCCGTATTTTAGGAGTTAAGCTCGGTGTTGTCTTTTTTTCTCCCTCGGCAAATTTCCTATTTTGTGAATTTTAAAATTTTCTAATGTGCATGGTAGCGACGGTACCTAATTTCGACTCCGCTAATTTTTAAATGTAAAAATTCACCGTTATAGGGTGTATAATCGGACCGAGCTTATGGAGAGAAGCAAAAATAAAAAGAAAACAATAAACTGCAAAATAAAAAATTTCTTTAACAGTTTATTGACTGTTGCCGCATGCGGCTAATGCGCTTTTGAAGACAACCCCTTTTATAGGTACCTGTATTTGAATCTAGTTGCTTTCTAAAGGCTCAACCATCTGTGTCTTAGGTAATAATTACCAACCAGACAATGAATTGCTTGTTCACACAATCTACGATTAAGAAAATACGGTTAACAATTATCTCTTATTTGAAATTGAGCTACATAGGACTATATACAAGACAAATTTATAGTAAACCGACTCCTTAGCCCCATTTGTCACTCCCTTCAACTACACTTTTTCCTCTCCGTTGTCATCTCCATCTACGCCTTTCTCCCCTTGTGCTTTTGCAGCCAATGCAGCGGCCTTCTTACCCATTGACTGTGCAAAGCGCCTCAAGACAAACGGAAATGCCACAGTCAAGACTACAACCCATGCTACCAATATACCAAAATTACGACCCAATTGTCCCTTATAAACATCAAAAAATACCGTCTTTGTAGCTTCGTATCCATTGTGTATAGGAATAGCATATCCATAACGGAAGAAATTATTGGTAAGCGCAATGGCATTATACGTTGGTGCAATATTGACAATAACCCAAAATATTAACCAAAATCCTAGTAGAGGGGGATAAATTGGTATAATCAACATGGCCATGATCTCATTGGCTAACCCCACTGCACACATTGTAATGAATGTTATACTCCAATAAACCAAAAATCCTGATTTCCCATAGGTTGTGGTAAAACTAACTTGAAAAGCCAAGGACGTCAATCCAAAAACTAATGAAAGGAAGAAAAATGATAGAATCGATGAAATGTACCGGTAAAGCAAGTAATGGGGTCTTTTCACTGGCGTCTTTGCCACTTTCTGATGTGGTTCACTGAAAAAACTGACTTGGAAAAACGAAACAATAATCAAATAAATGAATCCCAACTGCATTGGCGCNACCGTCTTGGTGGCTTCATAACTATTGTGTATCGGCATAGCGTATCCATAACGGAAAAAGTTATTGGTCAACGCCATTACCGTATATGTAGGGGCAATATTGACAATAACCCAAAATATTAACCAAAATCCAAGTAGAGGGGGATAAATTGGTATAATCAACATGGCCATTATTTCAGTGGCTAATCCAACAGCACACATAGTTAAAAAGGAAATACTCCAGTAGACCAAAAACCCTGATTTCCCATAAGTTGCATCGAAATTAACCTGGAAAGCTAATGTAACTAATCCAAAGATCAATGAAAGGAAAAAAAATGAAAAAATGGATGATATATAACGATAGGCCACATAATGAATTCTTTTCACCGGCGTTTTTGCCACTTTTTGATGGGGTTCGGAAAAGAAGTTAAATTGGAAAAACGAGACAATAATCATATAAATGAAACCAACTTGCAAAGGTGCACTCAAGACATTATCAGTGAATGGTATTCTGTCAACCTTGGTGAAATGGATTGGTTGAGAAAAGACCTGTTTCTGTGATGCCGATTCAATTGTGACATTCTCGGCTATCTGCGAAAGTAGTTTCGGTTGCTCATTAAACCAATATGATTCAAGTTTTTGCAATTGGGGGGTTACATACAGTCGCATGGCAAGAAAATCACGACCGGTTTCATAATAAGCAGCAACTGTGTTGTCAGATGCATTGTACTTTGAGTTTCCATTAACCAATGCTTGGTAATAATTGTAGCTAGCATTAGGCTTGACATATATTGCTGACCAGTACAATTGNGCATTCAAAACATGATTTGTCACTGGGAGCCTATCCACCACGGTAAACTGCACTGGTTGGGCCAATACTTGTTTTTGTGATGCTGATTCAATAGTTGAGTTTTCAANGCCAATGTAACTAATCCAAAAACTAATGAAAGGAAGAAAAATGATAGAATCGATGAAATGTACCGGTAAAGCAAGTAATGAATTCTTTTCACTGGCGTCTTTGCCACTTTCTGATGTGGTTCGCTGAAAAAACTGACTTGGAAAAACGAAACAATAATCAAATAAATGAATCCCAACTGCATTGGCGCATTCAAAACATGATTTGTCACTGGGAGCCTATCCACCACGGTAAACTGCACTGGTTGGGCCAATACTTGTTTTTGTGATGCTGATTCAATAGTTGAGTTTTCAACAAGTTGTGAAATCATGCTAGATTGTTGATCCAACCAAAAAGTCTCCGTCTTTTCCAATTGGGGTGTCACATACAGCGGCACAACGAGAAAGTCGCGAGCCGTTTCATAGTAAGCCGTAATTGTGTTGTCTGATACATTATATCGTGTGTCTCCATTCACCAATGCTTGGTAATAATTGTAGCTAGCATTAGGCTTGACATATATTGCTGACCAGTACAATTGATGATGCACTTGTCTCAAAATTTCTCCTCTGATGGTATTATTATTATCTTGTGCGTGTGTTTCAAACTCGCTTTCTTTGTATATATACCAGTTTCCAATTGCTTTTGCTTGTGGTCGCTGTAAAATTTCCTCCATAGAGTCTCCAAATACTGGTGGGACTCCCTCAATGGTGTTTTCGTCACCGATAACTACCAACATCTTCAATTCCTTTAAATTATCCAGAATTTCATAATATGAACCCCAATATATTGAAAGGGCAGTTAAAATCAATGTGGCCATTAGCATATTAATTAAAACAAATCTTTTGTGTATTTGCATTCTATGTGACTTGTATTCCCGACTAAAGAATGATACGTATTGTGGTGGTGGTGGTGTGGCCAGTTGCTGATTCTTTTTGTCGTGAACTAGTTCTGACTGTGGCTGTTCCTCTCTGTGGTTTGAGATCTTTTCGCCACGTTCTATACCTTCTTGGTCATTTTCATCAAAGTTGGGAGTAGCAGATGAACCGTCATCCATGTTCATCAATTGGCGACGTTGATCTGTTGGTCTTTCATCCATATATGTATCGTTATCTCTTTCTAGCGAATTATTGGAAATATCTTCACTTTTATCGCTCATTGAATGGAATTGTATTAATAGCAAGTGTTATTGAGGAAGAGTAAGTGGTATTCTATATAATATATATATTAATATGTGAATTAAGCTGGTGATATGGAAATGAAGTAGATTTATGATTGATTACATATTATTATTTTTTTCTTATTTTGTCTGTAATGTGTGTAATGTGTGCAATGTGTGCAATGTGTATTAGTAATGGCCGTTTGTGACGTCAAAAAATGATAGAAGTCTTTGTTCTCGTCCGGGATCTCGTATCTCTTCCGGGATCTCATCCGTGATCTCGTATCTCTTCCGTGATCTCATCCGTGATCTCGTATCTCTTCCGGAATCTCATCCGTGATCTCGGATCGCGACCCCAATCTAGTGTATTCCTTGTTCCTTTTAGGATAAGTAGCAATGAAAACTCTATGACTATTTAGAACGTCATGGGGTGCATCATATTATAGCGTAGTTATTTTTTTACTCTTATACGGTTATCATAGAAAACTGGGGCCAACAAAGCCACCTGAAGTTAAGGGGTAATTCGAGATCGATACAAGAAACAAGAAATCCAGAGGTGCAACATTGAAGTTTTGCCATCGCACTGTGTGGATCAGAACGCAAGTATTGCCAAGTATTCACAGTCTGTATCATAGCGTAAGTTCATCAAAACCGGATAACAATTTATTCTACCTCGCAATTAACAGCCCCTTCCTCGGAGTACAAAATTGAGAGAAACACAAAAAACTAATCTTTATAGAAGTGGAACGTTTAAGAAAGAAAAGATTGAATGAGCTCTGTCATTTTTGTGTGGCTCGGGAAAACGGAGTAGTTTAAATAAAAAAACCCTCGGCAAACTTTTCGGGTGGTTTCATTGCTACTTTTCCCACAATTTACACTCCATATCACTAGACTAAGGTATAAAAGCCAACTCAATTGCCATACAATCGCCACACAATTGCAAAATCTTTACTTTACAAGAAAACAACTTTAGAAATTTTAATAGTTGGCTGAAGCAGAAGTATGTCTCCGTGTAACATCAAGCCAATACAAAGATACTAACAACCAAAGCAGCAAAAAAAGAACATGTCATTTGCTGGAAAAGAATTTAAATTATCCAACGGAAACAATATTCCAGCCATCGGGTTTGGTACCGGAACCAAATACTTCAAAAGGGGACATGACGAACTTGACAAGCAATTGATTGGAACCTTGGAGCTTGCTTTGAAGAGTGGGTTCAAACACATTGATGGTGCTGAGGTTTATGGCACCAACAAGGAGGTTGGGATTGCTATCAAGAACCTGGGTATTAACAGAAAGGATGTGTTTGTCACTGACAAATACAATTCCGGTAATCACACTTACGATGGCAAACATTCTAAACATGAGAACCCATACAAAGCCTTGAAAGCCGATTTGGAAGACTTGGGATTGGACTATGTCGATTTATACTTGATCCACTTCCCATACATTTCGGAAAAGTCTCATGGATTTGACTTGGTCGAAGCCTGGAGATACTTGGAAAAGGCCAAGAATGAAGGTTTGGCCCGTAACATTGGTGTTTCCAACTTTACCATTGAGAATTTGAAATCGATTTTGGATGCAAACACCGATTCAATTCCCATGGTTAACCAAATTGAATTCAGTGCTTATTTGCAAGACCAAACGCCAGGAATCGTTGAGTATTCCCAACTGCAGGGTATTTTGGTTGAAGCATATGGTCCTTTGGGTCCAATTACCAAAGGGAAACCAGGTCCTTTGGATAAAGTTTTATCAAAGTTGTCTAATAAGTACAACAAGAATGAGGGTCAGATTTTGTTGAGATGGGTGTTGCAAAAAGGTGTTTTGCCCATCACCACTACTTCCAAAGAAGAGCGGATCAATGACGTTTTAGAAATTTTTGATTTCGAGTTGGAAAAAGAAGACGAAGACGAGATAACTAAGGTTGGTAAGGAAAAGACTGTTAGACAGTTTTCAAAGGAGTACTCAAAGTATGATTAAGTGTCATATATGATTTTTACGTATATTAATTACTATACTTTATAAGCTGTGACTAGACTAGCCTTCAGTAGGGAGTGTTTGAGGAATCTCTATTATTCCCTTTTGAATTGTACATTGCTTTCTGTACTCAAGGACAGTGAAACCAAGTTTGCCGATGATTACGATTATTCCTCTTTGCTCTAAGACTTCAACTGCCTATTCAAATTCCTAAATTTTGGAATATGTCAAAGAAACATCTCTTATTATGCATAGCTTGAAATGGGCAGCCCTATACCATGTAGCGATAGCTCAGTATTGAAGAATGGTCAGAATCCCTTCCTATGAACGAGCTGTGATCGGTAACAAACAATGCATATTCTCCCTGATTGTTCATCTTACCTAACCCAATTCCTCGGCAACTATCGTCTCCAAAATCGTGCCATCGCTCTCGGGAAACTTTTCAAATGCATGCGTTAAAGCCTTTTCCAAAACAGGCTTGAAATCATCATCACAATTACACTTGGCGCAATAGTTCATCTTGGCGAATTTATTGGCAATTTCTTCCTGATGGTTATCCATTAGCTGCGTGTTAACCACCACGATTAACTTCTTTTGATAACGTAGTGTATCGATTATCGAACCCGTTCCTGCGTGCGATATGACAATGTCGGCCTGTTTGATATAATCTTGGATGTGTGACGAAAAGGGGAATGCAGTTACTTCAATGACGTCGTTAGCTAGAACAGTTGTGTCATCTTTAGTCCTGTTTTCCAACGTGAAATGAAAGTCCTTTACAATGCTGCTTTTTTCCAATTGATTGACAAAGAATTGACGACTGATGTGCTGTGACCCTTTAGTTTCGTTGCCATATTGAATAAATAGCTTTGAGATGCCCAAATCAATCAAGGAATTGATAAATTTAGTACTGACAACAGTCTCGATTAGCTTCTTGAATGTGACTGTAGCCCCAGTGGTGACCAACACAGTTGACATTTTCCACACCAACACAATCTCGTTCCCGATCCTCGTTTAGGATTTTTTCACGTCTTCTAGTGTTTATTTTTTTTCCTTCTTCCTTTTTAACCACATTTCTTTCATTTCCATCAGGCTATATATATATACGATGAAGTTACTATTCTACGGGTTGATTCCTATCGTCCTTTACACCACATTCAATTACTTGTTCCATACTTGGTTACCAACAAATTACAGGTTCGACAAGGTTGTATTACAAAATTTGGTGCAGGATGTATTAAAGGATCATCCTGATGGAAATGCCACCGCTATCATGATAGACTTGGCACCTAAAATCAAGCAAGAGTACCCCGATCTAGTTAACGATTTGAACTTTGACGAGTGGTTCTATAATAATGCCGGTGGAGCAATGGGCCAAATGACAATCTTACATGCTTCGATAAGTGAGTACTTGATCTTTTTCGGTACCGCTGTGGGTACAGAAGGCCATACTGGAGTCCATTTTGCCGATGATTACTTTACCATCTTATCGGGTGAGCAAAGAGCGGCATACCCAGGATCTTTGGAACCGGAAGTGTACAAGCCAGGTGATCAGCATCACTTGCCAAAAGGTCATGTCAAACAATATGCAATGCCTGGTGGTTCATTCGCATTGGAGTTGGCTCAAGGTTGGATCCCGGCAATGTTGCCCTTTGGACTTTTAGATACCTTAAGTTCGACGTTGGACTTTTACACGTTCTACTTGACTTCGTACTATACCGCCAGAGATATGATTAGAAACTTGTTGAATGGAAAATTTTGAGATTTGGCGCTACCATGGTGATTGTTTTGATTTTGTTTTGCAACAAAACCAAAATAGACAGAGAGAAAATGACAAGGTAAAAAGAATTGGAGAATAAACTTTAAAATTTGTATTAAAAAATTGTATCTTTTTTAAATAAAGAATATAGACGACAGTGTAGCTTATACAACGTTAGGAACTAAATTAAACATGACTCTATTGTGAATGTTGTTCTTTTTGATTGGTTTTTATTCTTACATTCTGTGTCCGCCCAATTGTAATAATGATTTGGCCACACTGAAACTGTTTGGAGTGCCTAGGTTGTTATGAAATGGCGAAGAAGTTAAAACTGCCTTCTTTTCCTCCCCCTCTTCTTCTTCTTCTTCGTCTTCAATCTTGGTTTCATCAATGTCCTTTGTAATCATGGTTGAGTTTGACTCGTGTTGATCAATTGTGCTATTATGCATAGTGGTGTTTTGCAACATTGTCATGTCGTTATCTTCATCTATGGTATCATCTACCGTGGTAGGCATTCTTGAAGCAGCAACTACATCGGGCGCAGCATTGTTGAATGATTGCTGAAACCTCAATGACCTAGAGAGGTTAGCGCGCTTAATTGGTGTTTTCAAAATTTTGTTGATTGGTGGTAATTGAGTTTCAGATTTGTGATTGAGGGTTATTGCTGGTAATGAGGTAGATGGAGGGGTATTGAATGACGAGTTCATTGAGCCATATATGCTAATGGATGGACAAAATAAGTTAAAACTGGGTGTGGATTTTGTTTTCACGTCTTGTTTTTGGCGGATTAACGGCAATTTCTTTTGGTTTCCAGCGTAATGGATGCTGCTTTTCTTGATTTGAAATAATTTTAACTTTTGGTCTCTCTTCTTTGCCTTGTTTTGAGCAACAGTTGATAAAGACGTGGTCGTGGACGAAGAAGCTTTAGTTTTGGTTTGTAAATTGACATTTATGGACTTTGTGTAGTATGTTTTGGGTTCCGGTGGTGTGAGCAACGATGACATGGCCTTAGCGTATGCATCATAGTTTGGCGATGCAGTAGGTGTGCCCTTTTTTGAGGCTGAAGGGCTCAAAATTGGGTTCAAAAAGTTTAATTCGTCTACCTTGGCACTACTACCCCTTTGTATCGTGGTGGTGTCTGCTGAGTTCGACTTGTTTTGTTGCACTTTATAAAGAGCAAATTGTAATCTCAACTTCAACTTCGTAGCAGCTAAGCCTGCCTTGTCGTTCTTGAATGCTGAAGCTGAAGATTTTAAATGCAAAGTAGGTGAAGTATCAGTATTGAATTCAGCAAAGCTCGTTGACTTAATCGCTGGCGATCTCTTGCTATTATAGTAGGTGCCTGATTTTTCAATTGAGAATGACTTGGTCACCATATCGGGTAATCTCCTTTTATGTTTACTTGGTGTAAGGGAAAGCATTGACTTGAACTCGTCAGTGTTTTGGCGAAGCTTGGTCCGTTGTTTATTAGCTAGTGGTGTTGAACAACTTAATGATTGGTTCGAGTTCAATTGACCATCCCCAATTGTCGATAATGCAACTCTGTTGGATACCATTGGCATTCCCATTTGTTTTCGTTTCGTGTTGTGTTGTGTTGTATTGTGAGCGTGTCTCTCTCTTTTTCACGTTCCTGCAAAAGCGTGTCTTGTTTTCTATTTTTTTCGTGTCACCCACTGGTTCTGCAGTCTTTCTAGGCTTGTCTGCACTGAAAACTAGCAACGAATTGTTGATAACCTGATGGATATGGTGTTGGAAACGTAAAGAAAAAAGGTCAGTTGTCACTTCTTTTAACCAAGAGGCTGGAAAATTGTATACATTAAATTAGGTTTGGTGTATTTCTAGGGTTTACTCGCACAAGTTTTGGTGTTTTGTGTTTGTCTCTGTTAATGTTTTTCTTTTTTGTCGGCTTACTAAATTGGGAATCTATCAAAACAAACAAACCTAAAAAATAAAAACAACAATTGTATACAAAAGATGTTATACTTGTATGTATTACCCTTCCTGTTTCCCTTTTAAGTTTACCGTTCATCCCCTTTTGACTTGATGCAGTCAATTGACAAACAAATCAAAATTGGAAAGTCAAGAGTGGATGCTTTAGTCGGAGGGTTTAAAAGAGAGCTCAAGTAGCTGCAAAACGTTTGTCGTGTGTTTGTTTACACTACCAATGAATAGACGACATTCTCGTTTACAATTCTTGTATTACTTACTCGTATATGTGAAGGTATAATCTATAGCTTTGAAAAGTTACCTAAACAGGTGCGTAAAAACAAAGATCTCTCTCCTCCGATTCCTCTTGTGACCCTCGCATTCCGCACGAATAGAAATAGAGACTGCAGAGTTGTTATAGCTCAACAAATGCAGAAAAACAAAATAAGAAGAAGAAGAAAAAAGAAACGCGTTAAGAGTAGAAATTTCGTGATACAAAAATTGTTTCGTGTTCATGCACGACTACAAACGAAGATATAGGAGATAGGCTACTAAACCAACTTTGTATATCATAAGGGGAAACAGATCGAACTTCAAAGTTCATGAAGAGAGGATGACTGTGTGGGTGTTCTTAAATTAGCTGTAAAGAGCAACGACGATTTACAATTTCTATTTTACGTGTCTTGACATCTGCGCTTTTTTTTAACATTTTAGTGTCATTTGCCATTGTTTACATTTTCAAGTAATTGAGACAAGACAAGAGGCATCACTTGCAACATAAACAATATATTCATACGAAGTGTGCTCCAAATACGGCTTCTTCTGCACAGCTTCATAAAGTTATCAATAAGGTGGGTTTCACCAAGACAGGCAGTGCACAAATCGCTTCCCTCTATTCTCCACCATCTTTGTTTACTTTTGCCGTTTGTGGTTGACATCGATGATGGAGTTGTGATCCTGGTTTGCGTGTTAAACACCAAACTAACAAGCCGTATTAATCTCAATCTCTGAATGTCTATTGTATTAGGTGTAACAAGACTAAATTTTGTTTAAACTAACATTGTAAGATAGCTTGGGACTTTCTTTATTTTTTCCTTGAAAAAGCTACAAAATTTTTTATACCAGTATGGCCACAAGTGATTTACAACACGAACTAGCTTAAATGAATGAACGTACAGTTGCCCTTTCATCGAGTTTATTTCCTTAGTTAGTAGAGAGTGCCTAATGACACAACTTCCCTGATTTTTTGAAGCCACACTTAGCGACACACTGTGTGTGTGTGTGTGTGTGACACAAAACGTGCCAAAATTTAAGAGATAAGAGAAGAGAGAACCAAGGGAAACATAAATGACCAATGCAGGGAGCAAACTCCTTCTTCCTCGTCCACGAACACCACACATCACCAATATGCTTAGATCTAAATTATCATCACTTCGAGAATACCTTACTCCGATAAATCACAATTCTAATTTTCTTACTACTGGAGAAATCAGTCCTGAGGAGTTTGTTCAAGCAGGTGACTATCTCGTTTACAAGTTCCCCACATGGCAGTGGGCCACATGTCCCAAGAATCTTCAGAAACTGTTTTTACCTCCTGAAAAGCAAGTTTTGGTGACAAAACATGTACCTAGTCATGTAAGGGCATCAAATTTTGAAGGAGAGCTAGAGGACGAAGATGAAGAAGTAGTTATAGGTGGTGACAATGATGAAGATGGCAAGGACAAGAACGAGGAGGAGGATGAAGAGTACGGCTGGATCAGATCAAACAAGAATACCGGAAAAGCGAATGAAAAGTGTCCTCAGTCTAAGGAAGAGATCGGTGATATTGACGACTTGATAGATAATGATGCTGAGGAAGCCGACGAGTCCGATCATGATTTCGACAATTTGGACATAGTGTATGACTCGAACAATAAGCTTAGGAAATATGACTTATACATCACTTACTCGACATCGTATCGTGTTCCCAAAGTGTACCTTGTTGGGTATGACTCTAACGGGATCCCCTTGTTACCGAAACAAATGTACGAAGATATAAATTCCGATTACAAAGATAAAACTGTCACCATTGAGAATCTTCCAGTAGCTTCCAACACTACATCGATATCAATTCATCCTTGCAAACATTCCTCGGTAATGAAGGTGCTTATGAGCCATCAGCTGAAGAGAAAAAGCGACAAGGCAGTGGAAGAAGACTTACAGAATTTGTCGATTGAAAATATTGAGCCCGAGGCGGAAGGAATTAGAGTTGACCAATATTTGGTAGTTTTTCTCAAATTTATCGCCAGTGTAACACCTGGTATTGAATATGACTACACGATGGATGCTTTGTAAACAGAATTGAATGAAGTTTTGTATTTGCAATATAAATTTGTTGAAAGAATTGAATCCTAGATACGTAGAAAAAGTAGATATTTTACCTCGATTCATCATCAGCATATTCAATATGCTCTCTCTCGTTGATAATATTTTTGATCCCGTCGTTACCCAATTTCTCCATCATTTCACCAGCGTCAAATGTCTTTGGAACAGTATGTTTAAACTTCCTTGCCGGTACACCTTGCTCAAACAATTTATCCAATTCAGCGAATGTCCTATTCTTAGTTTCTGGTAACTCAAACCAAGTCCATATCGAAGCAACAATGGCAAAACCAGCCCAAAAGAATCCCGTCTTGGCTTTCCAATTCCATTCAGTTGGGTTCAACATGTAGCTCGAGAGGATACCAACAACGATACCCGAAACATTGTAAAGGAATCTTGACAACATCACCGTCTTTTGTCTCAATTTGGCCGATGGCATCTCTGGCACAATACAATAACACATTGGTCCAACCGTCAAATCATAAACAAAGGTGTAAACCAACAACATTGATCCAATACCCCAACTAGCACCAGTTGATGAAGACAAGCCCAAACCACCAGTAACCAAAAGAATAACTGCTTGAGTGCATAATCCACCAAAAAATATGGGGAACCTACCCAACTTTTGCGACAAGAACCAAGAGCCAAATGTACCAATAATATCCAAACAATATTGGATGATTGAAAATGTGAAAGCGTTGGAAAGATCCAAACCCGCTTGCTCGTAAAAGTAGGTTGAGTAACCCATCAATGCCGAACCGGTAATGTTTTGGAAAAGCCAGGTGATGGCAGAAATCCTTGTTCTTCTCAAGTTCTTACCTGTGAAGCATTCCTTGAAAGTTGCACCTTCATTAGTAGCATCCTCTTCTCTAACAATCAATTGGATTTTGGTTACCATTCTCTCGACTACTACACCCTTTTCGGGTAAGTATGAATTAGTCGTCAACAACCGCATCAACGAGTGTTTGGCTTCTTGAAGTCTTCTTTTTTTCACAAGAAAGTAGGGTGACTCCGGAGCCAAGTATACACCGATCAAGATGGGGATTGGCCAAACCCATTGAATAGCATAAGCGATACGATAAGCATGAGGGTCGCTCATGTTTGAGATGCCCTTAATGACACCAGCAGATATCAACTGACCAAACACCCAACACACATTGACATACGTGGTCAAATACACTCGCAAACTAGCAGGGGCAATTTCCGAAGCATATGTTACTGTAATTGTTTGATAGGAACCCCAATTGATACCCAACAAGATATAAGACAAAAGCAAGACTTCACGATTGGGAGCAAAGAACTGGATGAAGATTAAACCAACAGAAACAGCCAATGCAGGCATCAATGTTTTTCTATAACCAATCTTGTCGGCAAACACCCCAGCCCACCATAACCCAATCAACTGACCACACTGGTAACCCATAGACAAACCAGTTTGCCACCTTGCGGGAATTTGGTAGTCATTGATACCAGAATAATAATCACCAAACTTTTTTCTAAAACCAGGGTATGCATAGAAACTAGTCAACAAATTGGTGTCGTAACCCTCCATAATCAACGCCGTCGACAAAATCAACGACCAAGCAATAGCTTTAGGAAAAGTCTTGATCCCTTCTTTCAAGGACATTTGCTTTTCTCTTTGATCATCAGCACGCGCATCTTCTGACATCTCCAAGAATTTAGAAATGTAGTCATCAACATCAGCAGCATTGGTGGAAAGGGCAGCAACGGTTGACTTTTCGTCAAGTTCACTTGAGACCAGAGCAGCACGAATCACCTTGTCGTCACCCTTGATCTCGTATATAGCATCGTCAGAGCCAATCATCTTTGTTGTTATCGTTATTAATTATAAGCCTAGCCGTTTCACCTGGGAGATTGTGTGGTGTATTTATACATACATTTTATTTTATATTTTGCAGCAAAAGTGAAAAACAAGAGCCACCTCCCATAATTAAGAATAACGTTTCCTCACTAAAAATGCATGAAGCCTAAAGTAAGGTTGATTCTCCCTCCTCTTCTCAAAATTGCTGCCCAAAAAGGTATAAGAAAAGCAGTACACAAGTAAGGCGGAAAGGAAGCCGTATACTCTAATTTTTTTTCTTGAACTGTGAAAATCTGGAAGAATGCATCAAAGGGTAAAAGATTGTCCTGTTCTTGATCATCCAGAAGAAAATGATTGATCGATTTCATTCAATTTTGGTTTACCTATTTGTGACCTCCATGCAGAAAGGGTTAAACTTTAATCATTTAAGTTTATTTGTACTTCTTCTTCCCCCAAGAATTTTATTCGAAGAAGTATAAGCTTTAGACATACACATATGCTGAAAAGCTTAAACCTGAGTCTACTTCGTAAATACACCCAAGAGCAAATATAAAATATTTGAAATGCTCGAAGAATTTAATAATACGTTTGTTTTTCTTCTTCAGTACTGGAAACACTGAAGAACGTAAATTTAGAAACATATACAGAGCGAGGGAGGTGTAGTTTTACCCCACATAGTTGTGACAGCTACTTTCGTATTGTTTGTTTTTAGTAAGCAGGTCCAAACAGTTTTGTTTATGGGAATGGTTCGTAAAATTTAAGACAAGTTCACCACAACCACAGGGCAACTTCTTTAGTCATTTTACAATTTTTCTTGGTATCACTTCTTCATCTTCATAATAATAGATGTGTGTGCTCAGGCAGATATTTGAAACCTTCACTTGAGCAAATGAGGAGGTGCAGAGGAATCCAACATGAAAATATTTCTTCCATCTTTGTGGCACAATCAACACCGAGAAATGGAGGAGAACAAAAGAAAGAAAATCTGGGGGAGGAGGAGATTTACTGCCAATTACACCTAAGAGTTTTGTTTAAGATGCAAGAACATCAGAAGTTGTCAAGAACTAATATAAGTTCTACCGAGTGAAAGTTTCATATCGGAGCAATAATATGTCCGGTTTTGAAAGTAGAAATACTTACATTGTGATATCAAAATTTGTGCCGCACCGTTCAAAATCAGATTAACCCCGCTTTAGCAGAGGGTTTAAACCTTGCAGATAATGTGTTGTAGTTCTACGACAGTGCCTCAAAAACATAAGCCTCAACCACTTTGAAACGGCACCTTTATCGCAACAACTATTTGAAAAAGTCAAACCTTGACTGTAGTTGTGGGGTGATTTTGCCAACTATGTAACGAAATAGTACAAAATACATCAATTAATGCCACTTCACCAATGAATGCTTTGTTTCTAATATTTACCAAAACGGAGTATCGGAAGATTCAATCCCTTTTCTTGTGTACATACATATGTCTTTCTATTTGAAAACGACTCACAAAAAGGAAATTGCACTCTAAGCAGAATTACTTTTTTGCTTCTTAAGGCGTACATACAAAAAAGAGAAAAAAAGAAATCTTTAGATTTTCCGAGCAATAACGCGATAATATTCCGAGAATTACTTTTCAAAAACCTTGTGTGATTTACAACAAATCTCTTGGTATTTTGTTTCTTTTCCTCCCCCACAATGTTACAGAGTATAAACAATGGAAGAATAATCTAAAACAATAGATACTTTTGATACACTTTCTATCTTGTTTTCTTCCGTCCCCAACAACAGTTTGGAAAATTGGAATCCTACGTTCACATTCAACGATTAGAATTAGGATTACGTTTAGGATTATGATTATAAAAGAGTGTTTTATTCAGGACAGATTTTGATTTTATTCAACTATTTATCACTTTGATTATCAAGTTTACAAGAATTAAATAAACCAACAATGACTATTGACTACACTTGGTGGAAAGACGCCACTATTTATCAAGTTTATCCTGCTACCTTTGCCAAAGGGTTAAAAGGAAGATACACTGGAGGTGACAAAACATTTGATGGTGCTTGTGGTGACATTCCTGGTATTATTGCCAAATTAGACTACTTGAAAGACTTTGTTGATGTGATTTGGCTCAGTCCCCAATACGACTCACCACAAGACGATATGGGGTATGATATCAGCGACTACCAAAACATCTACCACAGGTACGGTACTATGGAAGATATGCAAAAGTTGATTGACGGCTGTCACGAGCGTGGTATCAAAATTATCGCTGACTTGGTGATCAACCACACTTCTTCCGAGCACAAGTGGTTTAAAGAGTCCAGATCGTCATTAGACAACCCCAAGAGAGACTGGTACATCTGGAAGAAACCAAGATACGACGACAAGGGAAACAGATTGCCACCAAACAACTGGATGTCTTACTTTTCGGGTTCTGCTTGGGAATACGATGAAACTACCGATGAGTACTACTTGAGATTGTTTGCCAACACTCAGCCAGACTTGAACTGGGAAAATGAAGAAACCAGAAACGCTATTTATGACACTGCTTTAAAGTTTTGGTTTGACCGTGGTATTGATGGGTTTAGAATTGATACTGCTTGCTTGTATTCAAAAGATCAAAGGTTCCTTGATGCTCCGGTTGTATACAAGGACCAATATTATCAACCAAGTGATAAATACACTTCAAGCGCTCCTAGAATCCACGAGTTCCACAAGGAAATGTTCAAGAAGGTCACCTCTCACTATGATGCGATGACCGTTGGTGAGGTTGGTCATTGCTCCAGGGAGCAGGCTTTGAAATATGTTAGTGCTTCAGAGAAGGAAATGAATATGATCTTTTTATTTGACACTGTTGATGTTGGATCCGATAAAAATGACAGATTCAGGTACTATGGCTTTGACTTGAAGGATTTCAAAAAGGCAGTTCAAGACCAATGTGACTTTATTGAGGGAACAGATGCATGGTCTACCGTTTTTATCGAAAACCACGATCAGCCAAGAAGTGTCACTAGATTTGGTGACAAGAAGTATCACGACAAAAGTGGTAAATTGTTGGCTCTTTTGCAAACCACTTTGACTGGTACTTTGTTCATCTACCAAGGCCAGGAGATTGGTATGACCAACTTGCCAAGAGAATGGCCGATCGAGGAGTACAAGGATATCAACACAATCAACTATTACAATGTCTTTAAGGAGAAGTACGGATCAGATCCAGATTTCCCAGAAAAGGAAAAGAAGCTTATGGATGCCATCAACTTGTTAGCTAGAGACCACGCTAGATCACCCATGCAATGGGATGATTCCGAATTTGCTGGCTTCTCCGAATATGAACCCTGGACAAGAGTTAATCCAAACTACAAGGATATCAATGTTGCTAGTCAAATCGAGGATCCAAACTCGCTCTTGAACTTTTGGAAGAAGTCATTAAAGTTGAGAAAGGAGCACAAGGATCTCTTAATTTACGGATCGTTCAAGATTTTGGAATTTGATAACGAGCAGGTGTTTACTTATGTCAAGAGTTTGCCAAACTCAGACTACCCAAAGGCTTATGTTGTCCTCAACTTTTCTAAAGATTCGGCCAAGTTTAGCAAGTCGATTGATGGCGACTTCAAGTTGATCAGCACCAATGTCGACAAAGCTGATCTTGTTGAGGATTCATTGTCTCCTTACGAAGGACGTGTTTACATTATAGATGAATTCCTATTCGATGTTAAATATGTTAATAGTTAAATAAATAGATAAATAAATTCGTTCTCTTTCCATGCCTCTATTGGTTTCTATGCATGCCTTCAATGTCATTCAAGTAGCAGAACAATGTTGCAAGGAAACGTTTAGTTTGGCGATGTTTTGAGGCGACACAAAATGATATGGAGTCATCTCTAATGATATATCCGATACCAAACCCATTCGCAGACACAGGCCCAAATCCAAAAAGACGCAACGCAGGATTACCACAATTTGATGTGGATAGAATTGCATCATTTAATTTCCCCCAACCTGCATCGGCAAAAATTGGTGGTAGGGAGCTGACGTACTCGGGTATAGCACTGCCATACACGTCGTTCAAAACACCTTGTTGATACTGTTTCAATAGTCTAGCCCATAAACAGTTTAAGGCATACAAGTGTCTATCAACTCCTTCTCCATTAGAAGCAAATCTTGTTTGCACTGAGTGGGCTTTACAAGCTTCGCCAAGTTTGGTCAATTTTTCTTTGGTGGAGGCGTTGCGGTCAAAGTAAGTGTGAACAAACTCATTTGACTCTTTAGAAACGGTTCTTACTGCTTCGGTTCTCCCATGGAAGAAATGCTTGGTCATAGCTGGTTCATAGGTACATTCTACTTTACCATATAATGCGTAGTATGTAGCTTGGAACGCCATTTGAACAAATGCATCAGGACTAAACCTCATGCTCTTAATTTGGCTCGATCCGTACAGTCTGAATTCCAAATGTTTAATTTCGTTTTGATTAAGCAAATCGGACAATCTAGTTTCCCCAAACCGCAACGCAAGTGACAAGTCTGGTGTCAAGTCCCATTCCAATTTTCTTGGAATTGTAATCAAGTGCTCATCGGCAAAAGAAGATTGAGTTTGGTTGTAAGTTGCATCTTTCCACAATGATGGGGCATTCTTGTTGATTGTCTGTGCAAATGACAAGATGGAATCGGTGTAAATGTCTGACACATATCGCAAAACAGTGTGACCATCAACTCCTGTGTGTTCAAAGTTGATACCAGCCTTACCGTTTTTGGTGATGATAATTTGCAACTTGTCGAACCATCTGTTAGTACATGTTCCCACTTGAATACCCTTGTCCAAGATTGACAACCCACCCAACATATTTTGAGCCAATTCTGACAAATCCTCCAATTCAATATCATCAAGACAAACAATGAATAACGCTGAATCAATAATGGATAACACCTCTTTATTGACCTTATTGGTTCCGATTAAATTGTTTCTCACATTGGCCCATAACCGTCTATTCTCAGTGGTCAAGACACCAAATGAAGACTTGGCAACATCAGTGCTGGCCGTTGACAACGAGTCATGTATAATGGAGCTGAAATTGACATTCAATTCAGATTCACTCAAGATGATGTTGTTTTGCGAATCAAGCACATCAAACCAGTAGAATTGCGATTTCGACATGACAACAATATGGTTTGAGTTTGGATCTGTTTGCATCGTACATCCATCGTCGGTGGGGATTCTTGACGCACCAAAGAGCTTGGTGTATTGGTACATGCACAATGGCTTGCCATTCTTTAACTTGTCAACACTCAAAGTCTCATTTTTCAAAGCCTGGATAAACTTGAGGGATGATAGTGTAAGAGTTGCTGCTCTTTTGATTTGAGGATTCGCTGAAGTGGTTTCATTTTGAGTGAATGGATCATCTTCTAATAAGAAAAACGGATTAACATTCAAAACCACGGGTGAATCATAACTCAAATAAGCATCGTACCAAAATTGTTCAATGTAACTTGGCTGGTCGGCACCGTATTTGCGTAAACAATCATCAAGGTAGCGACCAATCGATGGAGAGTCACTGTTGCCATCTCCTTTGAGAAACAACTCAACAGCAGCTTGGGTTCTAGCATGCTCTTTTCTAGTTTGTAATGGCTCCATTATTCTCAAATACCTCAGACATGTTTCCTCTAAATCTGGAATGGGCAATTTTTTCAACTGGTCTTGGTATTGGAACGTGGACATTTCGGCGATGTGGGGAGGGTAATGGATATCGAATAAGATGTTTTGTTTGGTTTACTCCTTGAAAAAATATAAAGAAATGTCCTCGTGTTTATAATTAAGCCTTTAGTTTTATAATCTCTGAATAATTGGCTAATTTCTCTGGGCAAAGAAAATTCTAATTTATTGTTTTTTGTGGAGAACATGGTAGCAGATCACCCTCGGAGTCTTGGTTTTGTGTGGCTTTAAATAATTGCGTCATTTAAATTTCTTTTCCATCTCCAACCAATCAGATTATGTATCTAAAGTGACAAAAGCTCTTGTTCTTTAAGGCAGAGGTTTTTGTACCTAATAATTCGTAACGATGAGTTACTGTTTTTGTGGGGCAACAGGTGCGTATCCGTTTACCCAGCAGTCAATTTGTTCTATCAATAAATACAGGAGTGAATACATTGTACTATATGACAAGTATGTAATCTATTTCTATATTAATACCCATCTGCCTCTCCCCGTTTTCTCCAATAGTCACTAACACCTTGCAATGCTCCACTCTTTAATCTTTTTATTCCATTCATTGCTGTCAATGCCCCTGTCTCCAAAAATGTGTGTCTCTTGTTTTCCAATTGTCCAACAATGCCACTTCCTTTGTGCTCTTCTGAAAAAGTGGTAATGTTTTCACTCATAACATCTTCAGGAATCAATTGATGGTGCATTCTGGGGTATGCAATGGTCTCAAGTAACCCCATGTTCCTGTAGTACATTCTCACTATTGCCTGGAGGATCGTATTGGTGATTCTACTACCGCCGGCTGCACCGATTACTAAATCACTTTTATTGTTGAAAGTTATGATTGTCGGTGCAGTTGAACTCAATGGTCTCTTGCCAGGATGGACAAAATTGTATATCGATGGTGTTAGATTGAATGCATTGCTAACATTGGGCTGGCTAAAATCATCCATTTGATCATTAAGAACTATTCCGGTACGCTTGTCATAAATCATTGACCCAAAGAGTAAATTCACAGTAGTGGTCATGGCGACTGAATTGTCGTCTTTATCAACCACTGAAAAGTGAGACGTGCCTTGGGGATCAACCATATCGTATTTTGGATCATAATTGTCCCACAGAAACGTTTCATTTGGTGAAAATTTATCGTGTTTAAGAATATCATCGATCCATTTGTCATCGTTGTACTTTTCAATCACCTTTTGTCTGCCAGGGAAATCGCCCAAGCGAGTACGAACTGAACTTGACCATTTGAAACTTTCAATTAATTTATGGTTGAATAAAACGGCATCATCTGATCCATTGTAAACAGCATGGAAAAAATTTAAACCGGCAATCAAGGAAATTCCTGAAGAAATCCCATTACTAGTGTAGAGAGTGTGGCCATAAATAGACGTAGTCAATGGCTCTTCAACATTTACTCTGTAGTTGGCAAAATCCTGTGGTGTGATTATTCCACCCCATCTAGCAATAGTGTCAACTAATGATGGCACAATTGGACCCTCCGGGTCGTAGAAAATGTCACTGCTTCCATTATTTGCAATCATTCTCAAAGTCTTTGCATAATTCTTTCGTTGTATAAAGTCGCCCTCCTTGACGAGGTCACCGTTTTCGGTGAATATAAAATCCCACATTTTTTTTAAAAATGGTGCCCGGGATAAGACTAATTCGTTTTCTTTGGCAACCACTGTCTCAAACACTTTTGAACAATTCCATCCTCTTTCATTCAACTCAATAACCGGCTCAAACAATTGTTTCCATGATAAGTGACCGCTTCCATGTTGTTTGTAAAGCTGGTCTAGCCCCTTGAGCTCACCAGGAATTGCAATAGCAAGCCCGCCGATCTTACTCAACACGAATGATCTTCCAAACATATTTTTTGACGCCAATGCTGGGGCCATTTCTCTTGCATCTATGCTAATGACATCCTCATTCTCGGGAGCCACTTTTCTGCTCAAAATAAAGCCGCCACCACCAATTCCTGAACTGTGTGCGTTGATGGACCCTATGCATAAAGCAACTGTGACTGCGGCATCTGCGGCGTTACCTCCCTTGAGCAAAATGTCCTTACCCAATGTAGAGCATAATGGAACATCGCTTGCAACCATTGCTTTCTTGCCTTCGTACAAGTGCTCTTTCGAAGGATACAAATCAGGTTGGCCTATTTTGTCGAGGAGGGGGTCATCTGTGGCTTGCTGGATGGTAATGTATGGGTCGGCGCGAGATATATCAGAGGGTATCACTGGCCATATTCTGTTGCCTGGTAGCTTAAAAACCGTGAATGCTATCAATATCAACGCTGGGAGGAGCGTTAGGCCAGTTCTGTGGCGCCTGTTGGTGCTGCTTGGTTTGCCTTTCATCGTTGCCTGTCAAAAAACTTTCTTATCAGTTGCGCGCTTTTTTTTTTTAGAGGATTTATTGCTATAAGAATTGAGAAAAAAAATAGCTTGGTCATCTAATTACTGCTATTCAAGTAGTCTATTCTCCTCGGAGGCATTCAAGGCTTGTCTATTTTCAACCTCAATTCTTTCTACCTCCTCCCTCTCTAGCTCCTCGGCTGTGTTGTTGCCAACAATGTATTCATAATAAATACAGAGGGCTAAAAGGGCGCCCTGCAAGGAAGCTGCAACTAAATAGCTAACCCAAGAGCTCCAATGCGAGCCTTTGGTGAATATCAACGTCGCAGCGAATACAAACCCACCGGGGGTTTGTATGCACATCATGCCAACTGACAATGTTCCTGGATGTTTCAAAGTGTATGTAGTATATATCTGTGGCACGTACTTGACGACCGTCAAAGCAGCAGATAGCAACCCGTTGGCGTTAGCTATCGAGAAAAGCACTGTTGTCGTGTTGAGGTATCCTGCTATAACCTGTACCACGGATAGAAACCCGTGGAATAGGACAATCTTACCCACCGTAACTATTCTCTTGTACTCATGCTTGTCTTGCTTGACTGAGTTTCTGGTAAGTAAAAGCACAAATACCAAAATCAAAATTGCACATACACATTGGATGGATATTTGAAATAAATTGAGTTGGGAGCTAATACAATTGAATGTACTTAGTTCACCACTGTAACAACACTCCCTTGCCCGCGAGCTTACCAAAATGATATTGGTGAGTGTAAATAAAGATGAACTTGATCCTAGCAATAGAAAATCGGTGGAAAGTCCCTCGGAGGTTCTCTTGTCATAGATACGTTTGTATTGTGGAAGGTAGCTGATAAGTATGCCAATCGATATAAGCACCAGGAAAATAAAGTTGGCAGTTGAGGCCCCATCAAAGATGGAACAATTTAAGAATGGATCATCTTCTGGATCCCTTTTGAACACATTGCCTTGCATTGAGCTGATGGGTGGAGAAGCCGCGTCAATCCTAATCCCTCCCTTTTTTTTTTTTTGTTGTTGTTGTTGTTGCCCCTTTTACAAACAGTTTTTACAGCAAAACAAGTGAATGCTATGTCAAAGTGGGCTATTAATGCCACCAATAGAATCCAGAGCGAGACAGTACCGGGATCATCCAAGTTTATCATTGGCGAGCTTAATGAGCTGTTTTCTATAGCTTCAACCGCTATTGAAAACCGCTACTTGCATGTCAGAGACGATAAAAATCGACTAGAATCATGGATGAAGAGGGTGTTACAAGGATCAGAAAAGATTGATGACTTGCTTGGAAATGCTCTGCCAGAGGACGTCCCACCTCAACTGACATTGCTGAAAACAAGTGTGCAAAATTTCCTACCATCACCAAAGTCGAGAGAGGTCACCATTAAGATACCGGTGGAAGCAGAGGACAAAATTCAGAACTCGACAATTGTGGTCGAACGGAAAAATGGAGGTGATATGAGAGATGTGCTAGGTGAAGCTCCAAATACAAACAAAAAAGTATCAACAACTCAATTTAATGCACCTCGACCAGCTCAGCTGACACTGAATGTACGCTCATCGGATGCCATCTCCAAAACAGATCCTTTTCAAAAGAATAAACGTGCCACTTTAGCTGGAAATTTTGGTGAAGTCGGGCACAGAGAGGTGCAGCCTACTTCAAAGACATCTCCTTACACGGCTTCCTCTGACGCTGAAGACTCATTTGAAGCAATTAGTGCAGCCATAAAACGAAGCGTTTTGGTAAAGAAACTGGAGCTTGAGAGCAAAAAGGAGGTAAGTATAGTATATCAAACACCAAACAGGAAGAGCTCAAAGTTTGTGTCTTTGCCCACTAGAACACCACTACCTTTTAGTAAATCTGCAAACAGTGTCAGACGTGAAGACTCTACTGATATTCTTCCAACCGTTTCAATCAAGAATAAATTGTCACCTCGCCGACTGCCGGTAAAGAAAAATTCTCCGCTACCAAAGCTTGTCAAGGTCCCCTTACGGCTGGAGGCTGTCGTTATCCCAGCAACTAATACGGATACCTTTCAATCAAGTCCTGCGCAGGTATCAAACTCAGAAGTGAAAGAGGAGCATGACAGATCAAGTGCCAGCTTGTGGGGAAAAATCAGCGAATATAGGCAATTGTCTCCAAAGAAACCACCACAATCTACCCCTAAACACTCACCAGCGTCAAAGGTCATTAGAAGTCCGAAAATTCACTCACCTGTTCGCAACTCAAGCCCACTACGGCAAAGAAGATCGCAATACACCTCGCCTTTACGAGTTGAGATACCACCACTTAAAAGCCCCAACTTGGATCGTCTTGCTGCCCCCACTGCTTCTAGTGCAGCAAAGAAAAAGAAGCCCGATTCGCGGAAACTTGAAAATAGATTTCTCACCACAACCTTGCAACGAACACCGAGGACTTTTGAAAGAAGCAAGAATACAAAGGTGGTAGTGGAGAAAGCACCAAAACCACAACCCAAGGTTGATGTTCAACGGCTGACAAAGAAATCAATGATGGAGCGACGCAGCGAAGCAGCAGCATTAAAATCGAGACAAAAAATAGTCCTTAACCTTAGGAAGTCGGAATCAAAAGCTTTGCGTGAAACTGCTCTGGTTGTTGACGATGGAGAGCAAGCGCCTACCAAAAGTGCACCACAAACTCCCGTTAAATTCGCACCCGACAATTTGCCAGAGGTCCTATCCGACGATAGCCATTCACCCAGCTCCAAAGTGCTTCAACCCTGGGGCCGCACACCAGAGCTATACAAGATTGCCAAAAGCAAGAAAAAGGTTGACCCTTCTAGGATATTTCACAAAAGCAGTAGAGTTAACCTCCTGGAAGTGTTCAATAGGAATGTACATGCCCTGCAGTCGCCTGCACCTACACCTGATATAGACAAGAAATCTTATTTAAAATCTATGGGATTTAGTTAATATATATCAGCTTTGTATACCTTTTCTTGCTCGTAAAGCAGCCTCTTTGTTCCATTCTGATGGCCACTTTTCTGCTTGCGATTTAGGCACCACGTATAACTTTAAGGCATTATCGAATAGTGGCACCTTTGGATTTTGCTTCATCAATGCTTGGTTTATCTCTATCTTCTTTCCGATTTTAACCAAACCACCGGTAAGAGTCTCCATAAAACAAACTAACGTTTTAACATTGAACTCCTTGTGTTTTTCGTCAAACCATTCTTTGGGTCTATTGAGGATCAATTCCAATATTTCCAAAGGTGTGCTTAGTTCACTAATCTCAGCGATGAAATCAAATTCATCTATCGTGGGGTATAATATTAGGGCCGGGAATATCAACTGCGATTGGTAATCTAAAGGATCCTCAAGTTTGATCTTTGCCTCCTGAATCATTTCAGGGGGGTCTATACTGTTTACAACTTCAATGTGGCGCAATTTCATAGAATTGGTTAAAATCTCCTGCTTCATTTGCTGCTCCTTTAACTGGCGTTCCTTTTTTAGCTTTAGCTCTTCATTTTCCTTTATCTTCTTTTCAATATTATTCAACAATCCTCTCAAGTCCGCATTTTCACCAAAGCTTAATCCATAGTCAAGAATCTGCTTAGCTTCGTCAAGCTTTCCAATGGCCAAAAACGCTTTACCTGAGCGGAAACAGGCTTTTGCATTCTTCTCATCAAGAAGAAGAACCTTTTTACAATCTTCGATGCATCGACGGTAGTTCCTGAGCTCGAGGTTACACGCAGCTCTGTTCAAATACAAGGCCTTGCTCAAATCGTCTACTCCGCAATCAACTTCCAATCCCTTGGTGTAGTATATCACTGCATTCTGGTACTGCTTTGCTTTAAAGCAATCGTTTCCCTGGTTCTTGAAATTTGTTGCAATTTCATCAGGCTCGCCGTCGTATGCTAATGACTTTAACGCCTCTAGCTCGGTGTTTTCTCCTCCTTCACCATCTGTTTCATCCAATTTTGTCATGAAAAATGGCAAACGATTGAGCTCTTGCATAACCTCATCGGTGCCCTTGTTGGCATACTGAGCTATCTGTGGAGGCAATTCAGGCTCACCATCCTTAGGAATATACTTTCTTCTCTCCCATTCTGCTCCGTAATTTTCACCCTTTGGAATCTCTATTTGAACCATTTCTGATGATGAGCTAGAGCGCAAAAATATTTTTTTTTTATTATTTTTCTTCTCTCTAATTTTAATCTACATGTCTATACAAGTTAGTCAAAAGAGAGTCATCTAGTGTATGCTTGGTTTCATCGGGGGGGTTGGCGCACCACATAGGCAAGGCCCAGCTTACCATTGAAATCGTACAGAATGCCGACGAAATCCACATAAATGCCATCCACGCAGGCCCCGAAGTAAAGCTCACGCCAAAATCTCCCAATTTCTTTTTAACCTCACTTGTAGTAAGCTTTACCAAGTTGGTAATCAACGCCAGCTCAATGATGGAACTGCAAAACGCCATTACCGATAGCACTGAAATAGCGTGCAACACAATACCCGGTATCCTGCTGAGGTCCTTCGTGGGGCCCCTATTAGCATATACCACCAACAAAGCAAACAACAAGACGACCTGGGCACAGACTGTAAATATCATGGCGTTTATGGCCAACCTGAATCTGTATGCTCTTTCATCAATATGTCTATCATATGCTGCATCCTTAAATAGTTTATCCTGGTATGCATAAGCTAATATACTTTCAAGCCCAATGAGTAAAAGCTGACCACGGTAGTCGAATGCGACCGCCTTGTTGTTGGTGCAAGTAAGCAGCTCGTTCCTTCTTTTAATGACTTCTTGTTCGCCTGTTATATTTAGCGTGTACGTATCGTAGTCTCCAAAGCAGAACCGCCATAGCGATGTTAAGCAGTATTGAGGAGCCTCTCCGACTTGCTCCTCTGCATAATCTGCTAGTAGCTTGATATCACTACTAGTCAAGCTATTCCCCATGGGTATGTACTCGTCGCCGCTGAGGCCCAATACAGATGAAGCTGCACCCACAGAATTCCTTAATGAATTATAAAGACCTTTGGAAACATCTAGACGAGAACAGTTTACCCTCGTGATGTAAAACGACTTGACAACAACCGGACCAATCAACATCAACAAGATCGACACGATCGCGACACAACTGCTCATCAACCTCAAGCTGAATAAGAGCTTCTCCTCCTTTGAGAGTGTTGACACTGACTGGGTAAACTTTAAAAAGGATCTTCGTAGGAGCATGTTCGAAAGGTGTGTCTTGACCCTGATATTCCTAGGTACATTACACAACCTAACCCCTTTCAAATTTTTTCTACTAGTGCGAAATAAGGAAAAAAAAAATAAGACAATCAATTTACTATGTACATGAAATTCCTACCTACTCGATGATTCTAGTAACCAATCCGGTTCCAACAGTCTTTCCACCTTCTCTGATGTTGAAACGTTGGTTCAACTCCAATGGGGCCTTCTTGATCAAAGTTCCCACCATTTCAATGTTATCACCAGGCATAACCATTTGGGAGTGGTCAACATCTTCACCTTCTGGGAATGTGAAAGTAGTTGTTACGTCACTAGTTCTGAAGAAGCATTGTGGCTTATATCCTTCACTGAAAGGAGTGCTACGACCACCTTCTTCAGCGGTCAAGATATAGATCGAAGCCAAAAACTTTTGGTGTGGAGTGGTGGTACCTGGCTTGGCTAAAACCATACCTCTCTTGACCTCATCTCTCTTTACACCTCTCAACAAGATACCACAGTTGTCACCGGCCATAGCAGCATCTAATTCCTTCTTGAACATTTCAATACCGGTGGAAGTAGCTTTGAACGAGTTTTCACCAATGATTTCAACTTCTTCACCTTTCTTCAAGATACCTCTTTCAACTCTACCAGTGACGACGGTTCCTCTACCTGAAATAGAAAAGACATCTTCAACAGGCATCAAAAATGGTTGGTCGGCATCTCTTTCTGGGGTTGGAATGTACTCATCAACAGCATCCAATAATTTTTGAATAGCTTGCACACCGATTTCTGGTTGCTTGTTTTCCAAAGCACACAATGCGGATCCCATAATGACTGGAGTGTTTTCACCGTCAAAACCGTATGAACTCAATAACTCTCTCATTTCCATTTCAACCAATTCCAACATTTCTGGATCATCAATAGTATCGACCTTGTTGACAAACACAACCAAGTTTTGAATACCAACCTGTCTGGCCAATAACATGTGTTCTCTAGTTTGAGGCATTTGACCGTCAGTAGCAGCAACAACAATGATTGCACCATCCATTTGAGAAGCACCAGTAATCATATTCTTGATATAATCAGAGTGGCCGGGCAAATCGGAATGGGCATAGTGACGCTTATCGGTTTCATATTCAACATGGGCAGCGGAAATGGTGATACCTCTGGCACGTTCTTCTGGGGCACGGTCAATTGAACCGTAGTCTAAAAAGCTGGCTTGACCTTTTTCGGCTAATACTTTTGTGATGGCAGCGGTCAATGTGGTTTTACCATGATCAACATGGCCAATGGTTCCGACATTGACGTGAGGTTTTGCACGATTGTAGGCAGCTAATCCTCTAACAAACTGAGGACGAGCAAAAAGAGCCAAACGATTTGGCAAAGATACAGCGAACCTTTTGAACATTGTTTCTTGACGATTAAAGGTTGAAAAAGTTGAAGAAAAAAAAACGAAAAAAAAAAAAAATTTTTTTCCAGTTCTCGTTGGCTAGACGGAGAACCTGTCGTAAAGTAAAACCACTTACTATAAATGTCGCGTTTTTGACTTTCCTAACGATATCGCGACACGGAAATGTGATACACGAAGTCAACCCAAAATGACTCGAAATGAAGATAAATGGATAAGATGCATAGAAGAGCGTTATAACACACATCTGAGGTAAATAAGGGATAGAGATACAAAAGAGATACAAAGACAAAGGAAGGATATGTCGCTATATTGCTCTGAAGTATAGTATATATATGAACTGTAGAATTTGTGTATTCCAAGAGAAGTGGAAAAGAGGCCGTGAATGCACAGCAACAAATAAAGCACTATAGTGCGAGTTTCATTTAGAATGAGAACGGTACGTATGCATATACGGCGAGAGCCCTATATGTGGCCAATAGATTTATTGCCTCACCCCGTGCGGCTGTCGCGCACGTGACAAATGTCGCACGAATTCCTTGCAGAGAAAAAAGTTTAGTTTAACTACTCTACCGCAGAACCGTTAAGATTTCCATTTTAGGAAATAAGAACGGCGTCGATGGCTCATCTCAAAGCTGCAAACTATTCAAACAAGGTCCTACAAAGCAGTATGAAAGAGTATGAACCACCTAGTGAAGAGTCTCTTATCAACAACATATTACCAAGCTATGACATGTTCAAGAGTACAATTTCTCTTGAACTAGAACCACGAGACGAAAACTACACTGTCGACCCGCCATCATATGAGGATCATACGATGACGCCGGTCATGTCTGCAAGAGAGTCTGAAAATTTAGATACTGAAATCCTTGTTGAGGATTATCCTAATAATAGTGTAAATGTTTTAAATGACACAATCTTATCAAATTTGGATAGACTACCAAAGTTGGATAGTGATGGTCTTGAGGTTGGTATAACGTTTACTGAAACCGTGGGCCAAGTTGGGATTAAGCTGGCGATAATTGACCCCACCGCAAAGGAGTTTAAGCAAGGCGATTTCATTCACGGTTATGTTACCATCAAGAATACCACAAAGCTGCCAATAAAGTTTGACATGGTTTATGTCCTCTTTGAGGGTGTATCAGCTTTGAACGAAATCGACAATTCTAGGAATCACAACTTTCTCACAATGGTGGATCTATTTGCATCATGGAGTTACGCAAATATTGACAGATTGGTAACCGACAAGGGAGACCCCCACGATTGGTGTCCAGGAGAAATCGACCCGTTAGACGGTACTTCCCTTTCCATCGATGCAAGAAGACTTTTTCAACCGGGGGTTACCTACAAGAGATTCTTTACATTTAAGGTTCCTCTAAAGCTATTGGACGACACTTGTGAAAAGAGCTTGCCGCTGCATGTTGAGCTATGTCCTACATTTGGGTTGAATAGAGAAAGTATTCCAGCTAGTTTGGCACTAGGGTCTGATCACGTGAGGGATTTGGCAATGGTTAATTGTTACATCTCTTACAGCGTGTCAGCAACCATCGTTGGCAGAGCAACAAGTTTTGATCTCGATGTGGTCAATGACAGGTATATAGTTGCAAAAAGAGATAAGGCGCCAATTAGGTTAATTCCAGACCTGGCATACTTTGATTATGATGCAAATACGCGCTACCGTGCCTTTGTTCACACAATTGAAGAGCTATTATGCCCCACCTTGAATCCAGTCATTAGTCAAGAAACACTAAAAGTGAAGCAGTTGTACAGCCAGAAAGCTTTTGAAAAGAGTGGCTACTATCAATGCGTTCAACCGTTCAGGAAGAAAACTTTAACCGGTTCATCTAGTACTGGATTGATTGCATTATCTTCAAAAAAAGATTGGTATCGCATAAAGTACACCCCTCCAAACCATGGATTCAAATCAGAACTTACCATTCCGGTCGAAGTTCGCTATTCAGGGCCTCTGCAGAAAGTAGAAATCAAAAAGGTTGATGTTGAATTAGTTGCAATGACCATACAGTCGAAGCTGCACCCTATTCCAATTGAGTTTACGAAAGAAATGTTGTTCAACGACCAAGAAGTTCTCTCCAAACCAACAACAAGCAATTTTGACTCACTTGTGGTTACCAAATTCTACAACTATCTCCAGAAATTGAACAAAGCTGTTAAAAATGGAGCCAAGATCGAATATCAGATATACAAGGACGTTAAAACTTTGGCTTCGCTTAGCACAAAATACATCAATTTAACAGTTCCAAATGCATTCTACCGTGACAACAGAAAAGCGAAGCTTAGTGATATACCATGGGAAGAAGAAGAGAGTGATCTTGTCAAGAAGTTTTCAATTGGAGCTGACCTAGGAAAATGCAGTTTGAAAGGAGTGAATCGTGTCATTAGTGGGTTAGACAAAATTACTCTAGTCCCTAGCTTTCAAAGCTGCTACATCAGTCGGATGTATTATTTAAAGGTAGGAATCAAGACCAATGGCGCAAATCTTTCATTGAGTCTTCCGCTTCGTATAGAGCGGTAATAGAAAAGTTCTTTGGGGGAAAGTATTTTTTGTATAGTATGTGTTATGATATAGTACACCAAAATTTAAGTAGGTTATTGTAGATCTATAAATGATCTAAATGAGAGAGAAACAGCCAAACTATAAATACTACAGACTTAGAATGACATGGAGTGTGTATCGTGTAGTTGTGTACACAATTAATTTGCTCCAGATATCGCACCCATACAAATTTTACATTTCCGGTTCAAGTTTTGGAATTAAAGAGGAGTTGGGTGAAGTTGAGTTTACTTAAGAAGATAATGTTACTATAACCTGCTTACTAGGTTTTTGCTTTATGAGGGCAGTGTACTTGAGTGTGGTTTGGTATCTGTTATGTTTTCATTGAAGGTTCTCATTTGTTGTTGGTTATCGCAACTTTACGCGTTTGTTAGTAAAGAGAAAAAGTATATAACGACGAAACAGGAAGTCGTTTTTTTCCACTCTCAAGACAAATTAGGAAATATATTTTTCCGCCTTTCTTTAAGAGACAAAATAAGACAATATTTCACAGAGATGAGTAAGTTTTGATCAGTATAGGAGGTGGAGGAAGATGTTACAGAAAGTAGTGGCAGCATTAGACGGTGATATTGGTTAATGCTGAGATAACGTATTCAATAGTCATTACGATTTCTAAATTATTTGCAAAAATATTTAGACAAAGTATAGTAAATTACAGAGATAGAAAGATAAACAGAACAGCAGAGAAACAGACTTGGAAGGTGTAATAGTATAGGCAG